CTCTCAGAGCTTCAGCCACCTGCTCATACTGCAGCTCCCATTCCTGCCCTCCCACGGGATCCAGGCCTCCCCACTGGTGCCCCGGGGGAGGTGGCAGAGATGGGGCAGTTCATTGTGCCTACATCCCTGACCGAGCTGGGCTCCGGCACCGCTCCAGCTCCAGCCCAAAACCTGCAGCTCCAGTGCTCCGGAGCTGCCCCGCACTCCAGCTCTGGGCTCCGCGCCAAAGTCCTGCTGTTGGGTGCCCCCCCCCGCCCCCGGCGCTGTGTCCCGCATGGAGCCAGCTGGGCCAGAGCATGCAGGCTTCAGCATCTCCAGGGCTCCCATCCCATGGGTGTGAGGCCCGTCCCCCTCCCACTGCCTAGAGAAGGGTGGAGCCCCAGGGTGCCCTGTGTGTGTGTGGAGCTGCTGCCCGCGGCCAGAGGCAGCAATGCAGGATGAGCGGTGGTGCAGGGCCGGGTGGTGCAGCGCTCCTAGCCGCCGTGTCTAACCATGTTGTGTGTCCCCGCACGCCTGTCGCCAGCCGAGGACGTGAGAGAAAAGGCCACCAAGAAGGCCAGCGAGCCAGGTTTGTCCTGTCCCACGTGGGGTCTGGGGACCGAGGTCCAGTGGGGTGGTGCCAGGCTGGGGCCCCTAGGGCCAGGGAGAGATGGTCTGAACCATCTGTGCAGGGGTCTGAGTGGGTCTCGGGGAGGCTGCGGGCTGCAGTTGGTGACTCTGCCCCATCGGTGGCTGTGCATGCAGCTCCCCACTGGCCTGGGGCCAGCCCCTGACTTGGCCAGCAGGGGTGGCGAGGAGGCCCCAGGAGCTGGGCAGGTGGGAGCTGCGGTCCATGCTCTGGGCTGGGTGTGTGGGTGGGAGCCCCGGGCTGTGCCATGGGAAGGGGGTAGGGGGCAGAGCCTCTCCTCCGGCCACGAGGCTGGTGGAACGTCTCCCTCCCGCCCCATTGCCCCGGCACTCGCTGATGCCTGCGCTTGGTGCTACAGATCTGGCTGTGACCCAGGACAGCTGCTGCTACCCACCGGGGCTGCTGCCGAGACAGACGTCTCCCCCGAGTGTGCCCCACCCGCAGACCTCCCCCCTGCTGCACCCGCTCGTCGGGCAGCACGTCCTCTCCGTCAAGCAGTTCACCAAGGAGCAGGTACCGCGCAGCGAAGGGCGGCTGGGGGCTCTCCCCAGGGAGCCCGGGCTGGGGGAGGGCCTGTGGGGGGAGTGCGTGCGGCCCCCGGCTGACCGCTGTCTCGTTCCAGATGTCCCACCTCTTCAATGTGGCGCACAACCTGCGCATGCTGGTGCAGAAGGAGCGGAGCCTGGACATCCTGAAGGTGAGCCAGGCGGGAGGGATCGGGGCAGGGAAGGGGAGCCTGGCCTCACTGCGGGGCAGGATCGGGGTGGGTGCTGGGACCACACTGTGCGGGGGAAGTTGCGATTGGGGCCCTGCCGTGAGCGGGGCTGGGGTGGAGGATTGGGACCTTCCTGTGGGGGAGCTGGGGGGATCGGAGCACTGCCATGGAGGGGGATATGGGGGGGATCGGGGCCCTGCTATGGGGGGGCTGTGAGAGGGGCTGGGGGGGGATCGGGGCCTCGCCATGCTGACGGTCTCCCCTCCCCTGCAGGGGAAGGTCATGGCCTCCATGTTCTACGAGGTGAGCACCAGGACCAGCAGCTCCTTCGCAGCGGCCATGTACCGCCTGGGGGGCTCTGTCCTGGTCTTCTCCGAGTCCACGTCGTCGGCCCAGAAGGGCGAGTCCCTGGCCGACTCGGTGCAGACCATGTGCTGTTACGCGGACGTGCTGGTGCTGCGCCACCCCCAGCCGGGGGCTGTGGAGGTGAGGGGCCCCAAGGGCCAGGCCAGCCCCCATCCTCCAGGGAAGCAGGGGCCAGCAAGGGAGGCAATGGGGGGGGGAAGTGTTGTGACTGGTCATGAGTGCCTT